AAGAAGAAAGGATGGGGTGAGGTAACTTTAAATAAGGTGGTCAGAGGAGTCTTCACTGACATGATATGTAAGTAAAGGATGAAAGTGTTAGTATATGGATACATGGGAAGAAGTGTTTCAGGAAAAGGGAACAATTGGGGCAAAGATCCAAGGCAACAACATGCTCATCCTGTCCTAACAGCAGGAATGAGGCAGTATGATTAGCGTAGAGTATACAACAGAGAGAGTAGATATGTTCAGAGAAGTAATGGAAAACCATCTCTTCTCAGGTCTTATATTCCAGTGTAAGAACTCTGAGTAAAATATGAATCACCTTAGAGTTCTGGACATAAAAGTAATGGGTTGACTTACACATCAAAAAGATCACTCAGGTAGCTATATTCACAATCAGATGCAAAAGAGTAAAGGAAAAAGCAAAAAGTTAGCAGGGTATTGCAGTAATTCAGGCAAGATATGGCAATGGCCTGAACCAGGACACCAGTAGTTAATGTCATGAGAGCTAGTCAGATTCTAAGTAATTTTTGAAGGTAGAACCTATAGGATTGGCTGATGGCTTGGATGTGGAGTGTGACAAGAATGATTGAAATTTTATTTTTTTTGAGTTGGAGTCCCACTCTGTCACCCAGACTGGAGTGCAGTGGCCGCTCCCGGCCACCGCAGCCTCGACCTGCTGGGCTCCGGCGATCCTTCCACCTCAGCCTTCCAAGTAACGAATTACAGGCATGCGCTACCACGCCCGGCTGATTTTTTGATTTATTGTAGAGATGAGGTCTCGCTGCCAAGGCGGGTCTCGAACCCACAGGTTCAGGCAATCCACTCACCTCAGCCGCCCAAAGGCATGGGATTACAGGCTGAGCCACCGAGCCTGGATGATTGAAGTTTTTGACATGAGCAACTAGAATGATAGAAATGCAATCATCAGAGACAGAAAAGGCTCTGGGTAGAACCGGTTTGAGGTGGAAAATAAGGAGTTTAATGAGGGACACGTTAATTTTAAAATAAATATCTATGAGATACTCAAGTGAAATACAGGAAAAGGCCGAGCACGATAGATCATGCCTGTAGTCCCAGCACTTTGAAAGGTTGAGATAGGAGAACTGCTTGAGCCCAGGAGTTTGAGACCAGCCTGGGCAGCATCATGAGATTCCATCTCTACAAAAAAGGAGAGAAATTAGACAAGAGTGGTGGCACGCACCTGCAGTCCCAGCTACTCAGGTGGCTAAGGTGGAAGGATAACCTGAGTCCAGGAAGTTGAGGCTGCAGTGAGCTGTGAACATGCCACTGCACTCCATCCTGGGCAACAGAGTGAGACTCTGACTCAAAACAAAAACTGTTCATATATATATAAGTGAGAGCAAGAGAGAAAGAGGCATGTTGAATACAGAGAGTCTAGAGTTTGGAAAAGAGGTCTGGGTTGGAGATAAAAAAATCTGAGAATATCAGACTGTTGATATTTAAGGGCATGAGATTAAATTAAAGCACTTTAGAAGTGAGCACAGATGGTTGGGCTCGGTGGCTCAGCCTGTAATCACAGCTGGGATCACAGTTGGGAGGCCGAGGCGAGCGTATTGCCTGAGCCCGCGGGTTTGAGACCGGACAACTTTGTGAGATCTCAGCTCCAGAATAAATAAAAAATTAGCCAGGCATGGCTGTGAGAGTGCCACTGCACTCCAGCCTGGGTGACAAAGCGAGACTCCAACTCAAAAAAAAAAGTGAGCACAGATAAGGAAAATGTGATCAAGAACAAAGTCCAGGGCATTCAAAATCGAAACAAGTTGGGAAGAAGAGAAACCAGCAAAGAGCCTGAGAAGAAAGGACCAGTGAAGCAGAAAGAAAACTAAGAAATTGTGGGGTCGTGAAAGTCAATTAAGAAAGTAAATCAAGAAGGGAAGAGATCAATCATATAAAATACTTCTGATACATTAAGAGTGGTAACAGTAACACCACAGAAGTAGAACCAAGGAGGTTGTATGGAATTAAATGCAAAATGTATGCCCTACCACCCTACTCCTTTGTATTTGAATAGCATACTTGCAAGTCCTAAGAAGACCTGGTGAAACTGCTCTGAGAGTTACTGACCAAATGGTTGAACTGGTATATCCAAGCCCCTTTTAAGTTATTCTTGCACAAATAATGGGCAAAATGCTAGGAAAAACATGAATATAGTAAGTCTCCAACATACAAATGAGTTCTGTTCCAGAAGTGCAATTTTAAGTCCAAAAAAGCTAGCCTAGGTACCCAACTACCTAGTACTTACATAGTACTTTCATATTTAACAGGCTATACTGTCACCTAGTAGAGAGAAATAATACATAAAAAAAAAAACAAGTTCACATCTTTGAAAGTCTGAAACTTGAAGGTTTGTATATAGAGGATGTCCAGTAATACTCAATCCTTGCCTTCAATAATTTGATATATTAAGAAACGTGTAAAATTGAACCTTCCATCTTTTGTGAAGAAGCACTGTATTGTGAAGAAAAGAAAGGAGCTGTAATGTCTTTCACTTATTAACAGTTATAGTCAATTAATTGTTAGTGATGAATTCCTATTTGTTCTCCAAAGCTTGCTTGGAAAAAGAAATTCACTTTTTTCAGATTAGAAAAGTACTTGTGGCCAGGCGCAGAGTTCAAGCATGTAATGCCAGAATTTTGGGAGGCCAAGTGAGAGGACTGCCTGAGCTTAGGGGTTCGAGACCAGCCCAGGCAACTTGGTGAGACCGCATTTCTACAATAAATAAAATACAAAAAAATAAGCCAACCATGGTAGCACATGCCTGTAGTTCCAGCTACTTGAAAGGCTGAGGCAGAAGGATCGTCTAAGCCCAGCAGATGAAAGCTGCAGGGGCTGTGAGCATGCCACTGCACTCCAGCCTAGGTGACAGAGAGAGACTCCAATTCAAAAAAGTACTTGTTAAAAAAAGCATCTGTGTATGTTTATTTGTTTCTAGCTATCTAGAAAAATAAACAGGCTGGGCTCGGTGGCTCAGCCTGTAATCCTGCGCCTTTGGGAGGCTGAGGTGAGTGGATTGCCTGAGCCCGCGGGTTCGAGACCCGCCTGGGCAGCAAGACCACATCTCTACAATAAATCAAAAAATCGGCCGGGCGTGGTAGCGCATGCCTGTAATTCTGGCTACTTGGAAGGCTGAGGCGGAAGGATCCCTGGAGCCCAGCAGGTTGAGGCTGCGGTGGCCGGGAGCAGCCACCGCACTCCGGTCTGGGCAACAGAGTGAGACTCCAACTCAAAAAAAAAAAAAAAAAAAAGAAAAGAAAAATAAACAACCCAGAAATGAAATGCCCTGATATTCTTTCCTCTGATATTAAACAGGGTGAACAATTTGGTGTGTAATTTCCCCAGATTTATTCCCCACGAATTTATCAATGCTCCAGGGCATTTCTGCTCTAATGTATCATTTAAGTATAATTTTCAATCTTTATTAGTAACTTTTACATACTTCCCTGTATTTCTTTGTGCAATTATTTTATTACTGGTTCTATATCTCTATGTATTTCTTATGTGGTAATTTAAAAAAAAAATACAGATTAAAAATAATTTTTTTAAAAAGTACTAGCAGAGCACAGAGGCTTCTGCCTGTAATCCCAGTACTTTGGAGGCCAAGGCCAGAGGACTGCCTGAGCCCAGGTATTCAATCATCCTGGGCAACTTGGCAAGACCTCGTTGCTACAATAAATTTTAAAAATTAGCTGGCCGTGGTGGCGCTTGTCTATAGTTTCAGCTAATTGAGAGGCTGAGGCAACAGGATTGCCTGAGCCCACAAGGTGGAGGCTGTAGTGGCTGTAAATATGCCACTGCACTCCAGCTTGAGTGTTAGAGTAAGACTCTGACTCCAAACAAAACAAAACAAAACAAAACAAAAAAGACAAAACAAAAACATGGATATGTAAAACCTGAAGTATATTAATCAAAATATATTAATTATGGTTATCCCTGGGAGTGATCACATCATTTTTATTCTCTGTGATGTTCTGTATTTTCCAAATTAAAAAAAAAAAATGGCTGGGCTCGGTGGCTCAGCCTGTAATCCCGTGCCTTTGGGAGGCTGAGGTGAGTGGATTGCCTGAGCCCGCGGGTTCGAGACCCGCCTGGGCAGGCGAGACCTCATCTCTAGTATAAATAAAAAAATTGGCCGAGTGTGGTAGTGCCTGTAGTTCCAGCTACTTGGAAGGCTGAGGCGGAAGGATCTCCGGAGCCCAGCAGGTCAAGGCTGCGGTGGCCAGGAGCGGCCACTGCACTCCAGTCTGGGCGACGGAGTGAGACTCCAACTCAAAAAAACCAAAACAACAACAACAAAAAAAATGACTTGGCATGGTAGCTCACACCTGTAATGCCAGCACTTTGGGTGGCTGAGGCGAGATGATTGCCTCAGCCCATGGGCTCAACATCAGCCTGGACAATTTGGCGAGATCTCATCTCTACAATTAAAAAAAAAAAAATTAGCTGGGCATGATGGCAAACACCTGTGGATCCAACTACGTGGAAGGCTGAAGTGGAAGGATCACTGTGAGCGTGCCACTGCACTCCAGCCTGGGTGACAGAGTAAGACTCCGACTTAAGAAAACAACAATAGGCTGGGCATGATGGCTCACACCTGTAATCCAAGCACTTTGGGAGGTAGAGGTGAGAAGACTGCCTCAGCTCAGGGATTCAAGAATAGCCTGGGTAACTTGGTGAGACATTTTCTCTACAATAAACCAAGAAAAATGAGCTGGGTGGGGTGGCAAGCGCCTGTAGTTTGAGCTACTTGGAAGGCTGAGGTGGAAGGATCGCCTGAGCCCAGCAGGTCAATGCTGAGGTAGCTGTCAGGGCACCACTGCTCTACAGCCTGTGAGACAGAGTAAGACTCCAACTCCAGACAACAAAAACAAAAACCCATCAACAAAAAGGTGAACTGTATTACATTTACACAAATAACTGCATATTATTTTACATTTAGCTTATATCGGTATTTTATATTTAATTTATGTAAACAAAAATAAACTCACTTGGGCATGAATGCTCCATTTGCTAGGGATGGTTCATCATCATCCAGTCCATCAAAGAGATGTGACTTAGCTGTGCCTGTTGTTTGTAAAGCCTTTGGCCGGACTCTGGTGGCAGGGCGGGGTGTCAGTTTATAATGAGTAGGGGTAGTAAGAGCCTTCTGGGCTGCTGGATTTGTTGGTTTCAATCTCTGAAAAACAAAAACATAAAGGAAAGTTCTAGTTTAATTCAAATGTATGGCACTGGCCTTAAAAATCAGAAGACCAGAGTTGAAACATCTTTGCCAATCACTTGCTCATACCTCTTAAAGTCTCCACTACCATAAAACAAAGACTGAACTTTGAACTTTGGCCAGGCTCGGTGGCTCAGCCTGTAATCCCGTGCCTTGGGAGGCTGAGGTGAGTGGATTTTCTGAGCCTGTGGGTTCGAGACCTGCCTGGGCAACTTGGTGAGACCTCATCTCTACAATCAATCAAATATTAGCCGGGCGTGGTAGCGTGCGCCTGTAGTTCCAGCTACTTGGAAGGCTGAGGTGGAAGGATCGCTGGAGCCCAGCAGGTTGAGGCTGCGGTGGCTGGGAGTGGTCAATGCACTCCAGTCTGGGCGACAGAGTGAGACTTCAACTCAAAAAAAAAAACACATGGATTGCCTGAGCCCACGGGTTCGAGACCTGCCTGGGCAACTTGGCAAGACCTCATCTCTACAATAAATCAAAAAATTAGCCGGGTGTGGTAGCGCGCACCTGTAGTTCCAGCTACTTGGAAGGCTGAGGCGGAAGGATCGCCAGAGCCCAGCAGGTCGAGGCTGGGTGGCCGGGAGCGGCCACTGCATTCCAGTCTGGGTGACAGAGTGAGACTCCAACTCAAAAAAAAAAAAAACAAACCACAAAACACTGAACTTTGTAAAGGTTGAATATCCCTTATCCAAAATGTTTGGAACCAGAAGTACTTTGGATTTGCATTATACCTAGGAGTTGAGCAACCTAAATGTGAAAATAAAAAAAAATCCAAACTGTCCCCTTGAATATTTCCTTTGAACATCATGTCAGTACTCTAAAAGTTTCAAATTTTGGAGTATTTCGAATTTGTGATGTTCAACCTGTATGTAAGTGTGAATGTTAAAAGATCTATCTTTATGGTTCTATAATTGAGTTTACTCATCTCTCTAGCCTCAATTGATTTTTTGTGTGTGTTTGTGTCGGAGTCTCACTGTCACCCAGGCTGGAGTGCAGTGGCACAATCACAGTCATCACAGTCTCAACTTGCTGGGCTCAGGCGATCCTTCCACTTCTGCCTTTCAAGTAGCTTAAACTACAGGCGTGTACCACCACACTCAACTAATTTCTTGTAGAGATGAGGTCTTGCCAAGTTGCCTAGGCTGGTCTCAAACCCCTGGGCTCAGGCAATCCTTTCGACTTCACCTCTTAAAGTGCTGGGATTATAGGTGAGCCAGCATGCCCAGCTCATTTCAATTGATCTGTCTAACGTCTTTTAAAATGCAATTAAGATTCTGAATCGGAAGAGTGTTTCGTAAATTAAAATTTTCAAACACAATATATTATTATAGCGTGCCCATTTGCTTTACCCTATGAAAGATAACTTAGCATGCAACAGTTTTGCTTTATAAAATAAGAGAGTATTTGTTCTTTTTATGAAAATACGATACCAAAAAAATCTAAGCCACAGACATTATTTTTCAATTAAACCAAAAATCTGTGCTTCCAGAAAACCTGGGATTTGGCCATGAGTATTCAACTTCTATATAATCAAAATTATTCCAGAAAAAGAGGACAAATATTAGCTTGCCTTTATCCATCTTTTAAGAAACATAAATAATTAGCATGGGATTCAACACCAGATACTGGGAATAAAAATACAATTACTTTCCCTGATTACTGAGGACTACAAGTTATTGTAGGAGATGAAACTAAATTAAGATTTCAGGTTGATTTAGATGGAATGAATAAAAATTTCTGAGCAAGCTACTATGACCCAGGTATCCATTATCTCATTGAACCCTCAACAATGAACAATATTACTATTGCCATTTTATAGATGAAGAAGTAGACTCAGGAAGGCAGAAGGACTTTCCCAAAGTCTCAAAGATTCTATGTGGTAAAACGAGTATCAAAAAGACCAAAGACTATACTTATAACACCACACAAGAGTGAAAGATCATTTATCTGTCATTAGAGATAAAGGAAATGAGGACAAAGCTTGGTCGGGCTTTGTCCTTGGAATGGTGAGTTGGGAGCATCACTTAAAGCCAGGAGAGTTCAAGACCAGCCTGGGCAAAGTAAGACCTCCTCCATCTCTACAAAAAATAAGAATTAGCCGGGCTCGGTGGCTCAGCCTGTAATCCCACACCTTTGGGAGGCTGAGGTGAGTGGATTGCCAGAGCCCGCGGGTTCGAGACCCGCCTGGGCAGCGAGACCTCATCTCTACAATAAATCAAAAAGTTAGCCAGGTGTGGTAGCACGCGCCTGTAGTTCCAGCTACTTGGAAGGCTGAGGCGGAAGGATCGCCAGAGCCCAGCAGGTCGAGGCTGCGGTGGCCGGGAGCGGCCACTGCACTCCAGTCTGGGCGACAGAGTGAGACTCCAACTCAAAAATAAATAAATAAATAAAAAATAAATAAAATACAAAAATAAAAATTAGCCAGGTGAGTTGGCATGCATCTGTAGTCCCAGTTACTTGGGCAGGAAGATCACTTGATTTGAGGATTTGGAGAATGCAGTGAGCTATGATCGCACCACTGCCCTCCAATCTGCATGTTAGAGTAAAACCTTGTCTCTAAAATGTAAAAAAATCAATTAAAAAAAAGACAAAGCTATGTAGAAATTAGGAGGTAAGATTTTGATTTTGCCACTTGAGAAAGCATTATGACTGGAGCAAAGTCAGCCTCTCTGAGCCTAACTATAAAATGAGAATAATAATATTTGCTTCCTTTCAGGGCTGCTGAAAACCCTCAGTCCTGATTTCTAGTTAAGTGATAATTTCACTGTTTGTCATGCTGTCTTTCAGATACAGCAGAAATAATTTACCCTCTGGACTAATGAATTAATGTCTTTAAAAACATTAATTAGGCTGGGCGTGGTGGCTCACGCCTGTAATCCCAGCACTTTGGGAGGTGGAGGCAAGAAAATTGACTGAGCCCAGTGGTTCAAAACCAGCCTGGGCAACCTGGCCAGACCTTGTTCTACAATAAATAAAATTAGCTGGGTATGGTGGCACATGCCTGTGGTTCCAGCTACTTGGAAGACTGAGGAGAAAAGACTGCCTGAGTCCAGCAGATAGAGGCTACAGTGGCTGAGATTGTGCCACTTCACTCTAGCCTGTTCTGGGCAAGAGTGAAATTCTAACTCAAAAAGAAAAGTAAAATAAAAAATAAAAGCATTAATTAATTGCTGGGCGTGGTGGCTTACCCCTGTAATCCTAGCACTTTAAGAGGCCAAGACGGGAGCCCAGAAAGTTTGAGAACAGTCTGGGAAACACAGTGAGATATCTCTAGAAAAAATTAGCCAGGTGTGGTGGTACATGCCTATAGTCCAGTTACTGGGGAGACTGAGACAGGAGGATTGCTTGAGAATGGGAGTTCAAGGCTGTGGTGAGCCAGGATTGTGCCACTAAATTCCAGCTCAGGCAATACAGTGAGACCTTGACTCAAAAAATCATCATGATAATTAAATTCAGCTTTGTTTAATCTCTCAATCTGTACAGGCAACAATTTACATTCTATATATTTTCTTTATCTTTCTCTGAGACGATATTTTACAGAAGCATCCTACATTTACCTCTTCTTTCTTCTTGGGGTCTGACATGGGATTCCGGAAGAGAGGAGAGTCTCCAAAAGGTGAGTATGTTAAACTATTGATGTGCTGTTGAAGAACAGCCTGCTGGGCAGCAGAAGCATTTGGATCTGTCAAAGCTTTATAAAAAAAGAAAACAAATATGTCAGTCCAAGGATTCAGAAACAGCAGAGAACTCAGTACTCTTTCTGGAGATGTGCTCTTCAAAACATTAAGATGACGCAATGGCATCATTGCGGGGCTGGGAGTGTGCGAAGCAAACTGTGATGAAAATCAAGACTCAAATGAGCTAATGAGTCAAAGATATAAAAAGGCATTTCATAAGAGACAATATACATATAAATTAACTTAGAAGGTATTCATTATCAATACTAATCAAAGAAATGCAAATTTAAACAAGCTTGACAAATATTTTATGCGTACCTATCACTGGCACAAATGTATAAAAAGCTGTACTTTTCAACCTCTAAAAACTTGTTTTTTGCGTGGGGGGGGTCTCTGTCACCCAGGCTGTAGTGCAGTGGCACAATGACACCTCACTGCAGCCTTGAATGCCTGGGCAATCCTTCCATCTCAACCTCCTGAGTAGCTGGAATTATAGGCACTCGCCACTACACCCACCTTATTTTAAAAATTATTTTTTATAGGTATGAGGTCTTGCTATGTTGCTTATAGGGGCTGGCCCCCAACTCCTGGGCATCCTCCTGCCTCAGCATCCCAAGTGCTGAGATTACAGGTGTGAGCCACCACATCTGGCTTAGAAACTTTATAGATTGGTTTAATCTGTCAATAGGGCAGTAACAGAGCAAGTATTTTTTTATATTTTTTTAACCTAATAATTTCAATCATAAAAATGTAACCCAATGACTTAATAACTAGAAACAAAATAAAAGTAATATTCCTAAATGTTCACTGCACATTATCTGAAATACTTAAGATTTGGGAAGAATCTATGTGTGTAACATTAAGAGTTGTAAAAATTATGACACATCAACATAGTGGCTTATATATTTATTAAAAATTATTACAATTTGTTCCTTTGTGGAAATATGAAAGCATTATATGAAGTATTAGTAAAAATTCCAGAATAAAAACATATTATGTACACTAAGGATATAAAGGAAGAAGGCAGTATACAAACAATAAAAATGGTTGGCTGGGAGAGGTGGCTCACACCTGTAATCCTAGCACTTTAGGAGGTCAAGATGGAAGGACTGCTTGAGCCAAGAAGTTTGAGAATAGCCTGGGCAACAGAGCGAAACCTAGTCTTTGCAAAAAAAAAAAAAAAAATCAGCCAGGCATGATGGAGCATGCCTGTAGTCCCAGCTACTCGGGAGGCTGAGGTGGAAAGACTGTCTGAGCCCACAAAGTTGAGGCTGTGGTGAGCCGTGATCATGCTATTGCACTCCAATACTGCTACTGCAGCTGGGTTACAGAGTGAGACACCAACACACACACACACACACACACAAAAGAAGTGTAGAAAATGATTAAGACATCCTTATGTGTTTATTATTTACATTTAATGTTCATATTATAATATGAACAGACATATGTGACAAACTATATCCATGATCTACAATTGTATCGAGTTTAAAAAAACACAAAACCACCTGCACTACAACTTGACTGATGAAGAAACCTTTCTGTAAGATAAAACTTTCCAATAATACTAAGTAAAAATAAAAACACTCTGAAGTCATTTTAGAGATAAAGATACTATTTTTCCCCCATAAACATTATTTAGGACTAAAGCTGAAGTCAAAATATAATAAGATAATTAATGTTACAGGAGTGGCATAAAGAAACAAACATTTTGAAAATTCTCACAATAGGGGATAGGGAACAAAAGTAGCAGTAATAGCAACAACAAAAATAGAACAGTAAGCTAAATTAATGAAAAAGAGGTGGATTCACCCTAGTCAAACAAAGCTTTCTTAAAATTAATGTATTTGTTAAACATTAAAACACTATATTTAAAAAGACAGTGAAAATTTGCTCATGATTTGAAACTCAGAAGTCTCAACTTAAAGAGTATATAGTAGCCAAACCCGGTGGCTCAGCCTGTAATTCCATGCTTTGGGAAGCTAAGGTGAGTGGATTGCCGGAGCCCGCAGGTCTGAGAACTGCCTGGGCAACTTGGTGAGACCTCATCTCTACAATAAATCAAAAATTAGCCGGGCGTGGTAGCGCATGCCTGTAGTTTCAGCTACTTGGAAGGCTGAGGTGGAAGGATCACTGGATCCCAGTGCACTCCCACTGCACTCCAGTCTGGGCAGCAGAGTAAGACTCCAACTCAAAAAATAAAAATAAATAAATAAATAAATAAATAAAGAGCATATACTAAATCATCTATATTCAGAAAGTTCCCAATCCAAATTTTTTTTTTTTTTTTTTTTTTGAGTTGGAGTCTCACTGCGTCACTCAGACTGGAGTACAGTGGCTGCTCCAGGCCACCGCAGCCTCGACCTACTGGGCTCCGGCGATCCTTCCGCCTCAGCCTTCCAAGTAGCTGGAACTACAGGTGCGCACTACCATGCCCGGCTAATTTTTGATTTATTGTAGAGATGAGGTCTCACCAAGTTGCCCAGGTGGGTCTCGAACCCGAGGGCTCAGGCAATCAACTCACAACAGCCTCCCAAAGGCATGGGATTACAGACTGAGCCTCTGAGCCCAGCTTCAATCCAAATTTTATAGAAAAGTTTTCTTTTTTTGGTATACAGTAGTGTACACCAACACCACAATGTTATTCTATGGACAATGCAAGGAAGAAGACTCAAGAAAATAATTTTTAGGAAACTAATCATTACTGATCGTTTTGTTGTTTGACAGGCAATCACCCATTAAAAAATATCTGACCTGTCCCAGTTGATCCCATCATTCAACAACTACAAGCTATCCAATCTGGGTTTGATCAAAAAAACAAAAATTTCCTTTAACGATTCCAAACATAATTAAGAAACTATGTGAGCATGTTTCCATTTTTGTATGTATAAATATGAAATCTTCTCTGTTAACTATTATTTAAACATATGTATAAGAGAGCTGATAGGTTAGTAAAAATAAGAGTAGTTAAGCTACTACTGAAGTTATATTCTAGTCAAAGTAATTTAAAAACATTCCCAGGATGGGCTCGGTGGCTCAGCCTGTAATCCTAGCACTATTGGAGGCCAAGGCGAGTAGACTGCCTGAGCCCGCGGGTTCGAGACCAGTCTGGGCAACTTGGCAAGATCCCGTCTCTACAATAAATCAAAAACTAGCTGGGCGTGGTAGTTCACGCCTGTAATTCCCACTACTTGGAAGGCTGAGGCGGAAGGATCGCTGGAGCCCAGCAGGTTGAGGCTGTGGTGGCCGGGGAGCATGCCACTGCACTCCAGTCTGGGCAACAGAGTGAAATTCCAACTCAAAAAATAAATAAATAAAAATAAATAATAAAACATTCCCAAGAATTAAATCATGACCAAATGATTAAAGGGTTAAGGAAAAATACAAAACTCAAGTCGTCCAATGAAACAGAAGAAAATTACGTTTATCTGAAGATAGCCAATGGGTTACCAGAAAGAAACTACACCAGACTGGTTTGCTTAGCTTTAGGAGGTAAAAGTAGAACCACTAGGTGGAAGGCAGGATTTAGTTTATAAGCAACCAGAATAAAACAATGAACTGGACTGCCAGTAAGGAAGCCACCATAATTGAGGTTTTTAAGACAAGTAAGGGCCTCCCACAGTAAGGGTAGACTAACATAGTTCTAAAGTATCTTCCAACTAAGATTCTGTGATGCACACATAAATCTTAAAAGTAAATACAATTACTCTTAAATAAACAGTGACATTAAGGTACATAACTTTAATATTAAATTCTTGCATTGGGCACTCCAAATCAAAAAAATTATAAAATGAAATAAAATAATTCTCTAACCAGAGAACAGAAGAGAGCATGAGTTAAAAGACAGAAAATATTGTGAACTTCTTCTTTTTGTTTTTGTTTAGAGTCAGATTCTCACTGTGTTGCCCAGGCTGGAGAGCAGTGGCACGCTCACAGTCACCACAGTCTCAACCTGCTGGACTCAGGCGATCCTTCCGCCTCAGCCTTCCAAGTACCTGGAACTGCAGGAATGCACAACCATGCCCAGTGAATTTTTTTTTTAATTTATTGTAGAGATGAGGTCTTACCAAGTTGCCCAGGTTGGTCTTGAAGTCCTGGACTCAGGTAATCCTGTACCACTAAATTTATTTCCTTGTACTATCAATTAGTTGACGGAGTAAGAAAAAGCAAGCACACAGCTTAAATTTGCAAAGATTTCTCAAAATAAGACACATGTATAATGATAGTACAAGGAGATAAATTTAGTGGTACAGAAATTAACTTCTATCTATCTATTATCTATCTCACAGTTAATATATTTATGGCAGCTTTTCATTTCCAGTGGAACACTGTTTTCTTTAAAAAGATATTTAAATGTAAAAGTAAGTAGGCCAGGTACAGTGGCTCATGTCTATAATCCTAGCACTTTGGGACGCCAAGGTGAGAGGATTGCTTGAGGCCAGTAGTTCAAGAACAGCCTGGACAACATAGTGAGACCCTGTCTCTACTTCTTTTTTAAAAAAGGTAATTTTCTTAAAAAGGTGATAGGCAGATACTGTCAAAGTAGAGAAGGAGTATTTAAATGAATAAAGCATGAAAACACTTTTATAAAACTAAATTTAGGAAACATGGAAAACTAGCAAACATAGTGTACTGGAAGCAGTGAATAAAGAAGGTAGAGATGATAAGTGAACTAAATACTCATTTACCATCACAGGTTAAATTTACATAATAAATTTAACATAATAAACCAAGCATAGCAATAAAAGCACATCATTTAGCAAATGAATTTAATTATATACCAGATGAATTAAAAAGTGATTTGAGGGACTAAGCCTGGGAGTAGGGAAAGCTGGGAAGGCCAGGATCTAAGACCCTCCATACTATACCAATGTTTAATGATGTGCATGTTTGTAATTCTTTAGTAGGGATAGGGGTGGGCTGAGGTAGAAAACGAGGTCAGCAAGTTAAGTATTAGCAAGAAATAAACTAAGTAAAGCCTTCTAAAATGACTGATACTTACCTACTGGGGCCTGGGGGGCTCCAAAGCCCAAAGTGGCTGTCGTAGTATTAAATCCAGGGGCCCCAAAGGCTCCTGTACCAAGAGGCCCTCCAATCTTAGGTTGGTTGTTCCCAAATAAAGATGCCTGTCCAGCACCAAGAGCTATGGAGACAAGAGGAAAGAAAAAAGGCTCCACAGAAGATCTTTTCAATGCTGTACCAGAGGTTACTTAAAAATATAATATACTTGGAAACTTCATAAAGATTACTCATTTCAACAAAAGGATTAATATGGTCAATGTTACTATATGCCACACACTTGGCTGAATATGTTATATATACATCATAGGAAAAATACTTTATGTCTCTGAGCCTCAGTGTCCAGCTATAACATGAGATAGTAACATATAGCTTAAACATTTATTTATCCTAAAATTAAGATAAATAAATACATGTAAAGCATTAAGAAGAGATCTGGCATGTACTAAACACTCAAAATATTAGCTAATGTCTTAAGTAGAAACTATTATTTCTATTTTACAGATGAGAAAACTTAGGGTTTAGTAATTAGCTCAATGTCATAATATAATAAACAGCAGAAATGGAGTTCAAATCTAGGTGCATCTGACAATGCAATCAAGGTTCTTAACTGCTACTCTGTCGTAAAACAATTTCAAATAATTAAAAATTACTAAATTTTTAGCCAGGCATGGTGGTTCATGCCTATAATCCCCACGCTTTGGGAGGCAGAGGCAAAATGATTGCCTGAGTCCAAAGGTTCGATACCAGCCTTGGCAACATGGTGAGATCTCATCTGTACAACAAATAAATTTTAGAAAATTAGCCAGGTGTGGTGGCATGTGCCTGTAGTTCCAGCTACTTGGAAGGCTGAGGAGGAAGGATTGCTAGAGCCCAGCACATTGAGGATGTGATGGCCAACAGAGTGAGACTACGACTCAAAAAAAAAAAATTACATTTCAATATTTGCAAATCAGAATACACAACTGACCCAATCTCAATGTCATCTTTTTGAAATATAGGTTAAACTAGAGAAAAGCAAATGCAGCTAGATGCAGTTGCTCCCGCCTGTAATCCCAGCACTTTAGGAGACTGAGGCGGGAGAATGGCTTGAGCCAGCCTGGGCAATATCGTGAGTCCTAGTCTCCACAAAAAAAATTTTTTTTAATTTCCCAGGTGTGTTGTTTTGCTCCTGTAGCCTCAGCTACTCAGAAGTTGACACAGAATAAATAGACAGACAGATAATAAAATCTAACATATCTTCTTTGAATACCAAAAAGTAACTAATTTTAATACTATCTCATAAATACTGCTTTAGCTAGACAAACTTATTTTACAAAAAGCTAAATAGGCAAGGCATACTGGCTCATGCCTGCAATCCCAGCACTTTGGGAGTCCGAGGAAAGAGTATTGCTTGAGCCTAAGAGTTTGAGACCAGCCTAGGCAACACACAAGGATTGCCTGAGCCCAGCAGGTTGATGCTGGGGTGGCTGTGAGCATGCCACTGCACTCCAGCCAGGGTGACAGAGTAAGACTACAATTCAAAAAAAAAAAAGAACTCATTTTCACCAGAGAGACATACTGCAGAAACTTGTGTTGAATTCTGCTTATGGGCCTCATTAGTAGTGATCTTAAAGGCGTAAAATGGGAAGAATATGGCGAATATAAGTTATTGGTACTGCAAAAACAAAACAAAACCAATCCATCACCGACATGCTCCGCCCCAGAATTATTGGCAATTTGGAGGATCTAATGTAACCTGGGTCGACTCCTGGCACAAGTGGTCCTCCTGCCTCAGCCTCCTAAGAAGCTGGGTCTAAGGGCCACTCATCACCATGTCCTACTTCTGAAATTCCTATTAACTTATCAACTGCATCTTGACAGAAATATAGTTTGCCAGGAAAATCACTTCAAAGATATAATACCTGCATGTTAAAAATATTTGTATGAGAACTGCTTGGAGATCACAAATAAAAAAAGAACAGGAAGCTGGGCGTGGTGGCTCAAGTCTGTAATCCCAGCACTTTGGGAGGCCAAGGTGAGAGGATTGCCTAAACTCAGGGGTTCGAGATCTGCCTGGGCAACTTGGTGAGACCTCGTCTCTACGATAAATCAAAAAAATAAGCTGGGCATGGCAGCATGCCCCTATAATTCCAGCTACTTGGAAGGCTGAGGCGGAAGGATCACTTGAGCCCAGCAGATCGAGGCAGCGGTGAGCGTGCCACTGCACTCCAGCCTGGGTGACAGAGAAAGACTAACCCCCCCCTCCAAAAAAAAGGAAGTTTACACCAAGAGAATCTATACAATACAAATAAATAAGGGTGACTACTAAATGAATAAATTATTCCCTAGTTACACCTCACTAAACTTAAAAAAAAGTATAGCAATGAGATTATTTCACCTTTGGAACAAGCAGTAAGATGTCTTTTAAAGTCTCAAGTCATCGGTAATTAGTATAAGCGCTAAGAAATACTAAATTACATTGCTCTCTCAAAGAAAAAGGTTTATAGCACAAATTATAAATTTTAAAAATTTTCCAGTAGCTTAATACCTCTTTGCTCCCAAACAAAAACTTTGGTGAAACTCAAGTACATAAAATGAATAAAAAATTCTGTTCTGAGTAGTATTTCCCTCACCTTTGCAGAGCCTGAATAAAGACGCATGAATAAGTCTAAAAACAACTATACTGTATTTCAGTAATCCACAAAAGAATTTTTTAAAAGGGCTGGGTAAAGTGACTGACACCTCTTGTCCCAGCACTGTGCGAGGCCAAAGCCAGCGAATTGCTTGAACCCAGGTGCTTGAGACCAGCTTGGGCAACAGAGCAAGACCACATCTCTAAAAAAAAAATTAAAAAATTAGCCAGGCACAGTGGCACATGCCTGGTGGCACACATGGTAGTCCTAGCTACCAGGGAGGCTGAAGCGAAAGGATCATCTGCGCCCAGGAGGTTGAGGCTGTAGAGAGTCATGATCGTGCTACTGAACTTCAGCCCGGGTAACAAAGTGATACACCATACATCGACTTAAAAGGGGGGTGGAGGGGAAGTCCTATAAGGCTTAGGTGATCTGGAAAGAACATCATAAAATGGCCTGTCTACAGACTGGTGCAATTTATCAAAACATGTATTTTATCCAGATCGGCCTTATTTCATGAACAAATGGCTTTTTATGCTTAATGAAAAGACTAAGAGGCTACAGTTTAAGAAATAATCTGAGTGTGATGTTATATGTGGTATGATAATATGGCAATCTGTTAAACTAGGAGAATGTGCTTCATTTATGATTATTTGTGGGCGTTGTAAGCAAGCTATCAACATAGGGGGCAAAATGTTAAGAGTAGCCTTAGAAATTCTAGGTTCACCGGGCATGGGGGAGGCTGAGGCAAGAAAACTGCCTGAGCCCACGAGTTCGACATCAGCCTGGGCAACTTGGCGAGACTTCATCTCTATAATACATCAATACCTTCACTAAGAGCTTTGCTAATCATGTCACATTACTCAAATGTCTATCAATAAGTGAAAAGTAAAATAAATAATGATGTATAATATGCAAACTATGTATATAAACACAATATAATACTAAAGATTTTAAAAAATGAGATAGATCTATATGTAGTGACTAAAATAAATAAACAAATGCTGATACTATCACATTAAATAAAAATAAGCCAGGGGTGGTGGCTCACACCTATAATCCCAGTCCTTTGGGAGGTGGAAGCAAGAAGACTGCCTGAAACCAGGGATTCAAGACCAGCCTGTGCAACTTGGTGAGACCTCGTTTCTATAATAAATTAAAAAAAAAAAAATTTAGCCAGGTGTGGTAGCACACACCAGTAATTCCAGTTACTTAGAAGGCTGAGGCAGAAGGATCGCCTGAGCCCAGCAGGTTGAGATTGCGGTGGCCATGAGCATGCTACTGCACTCCAGCCTGGGTCACAGACTAAGACACTGACGTAAATAAATTAATGAATGAATGAGAGTAAAAGTCAGAGTACTACGTAAGGCAGATGCTTTCAAATATTTTTTACTCTAGCATAGGATATGAAAAATACTGAGAAATAAAACACATAACACACTCATATAACTGAAACAAAGCTTATAAAAGGACATTAACCTTACTATGCATAATGATTTTTAATTCTAGTTCATTTTCTTAAAAAGCTGATTGCAGCCCACTGTACTAATGCATCTCGGCTTTTGGATTAAAAATCATCAGTATGGTTTTCACTTAAAAATATAATCTTGGCCAGGCGCAGTGGCTAAAGCCTGTAATCCCAGTGCTTTGAGAGGCTAAGGTGAGAGGATTGCCTGAGTCTAGGGGTTCAAGACCAGCCTGAGCAACTTGGTGAGACCTTATCTCTACAATAAACCAAAAAATGAGCTGGGTGTGTTGGCATGTGCCTGTGGTTCCAGCTACTTGGAAGGCTGAGGCTCACAGGTCCTTCCTTTGAGCCCAGCAGGTCAAAGCTATGGTGGCTGTGATTGTGCCACTGAACTCCAGCCTGGATGAGAGTGAGACTGACTCCAACTCAAAAAAAAAAAGGGAAATGACACATGAATGCTCAGATCATAGAAACAAATACCAGAGATAACTTGACAGTACAGGCAGAGATCATGGAAATAAGACAGTACAGGCAGAGATCATGCAACCAAATGATCACACCCATAGTAAGATGAATTGGGAAAGGAGGCAAAACTATATGCTTAATTAAACAATCTTATTTAACCGTACATGCTGAAACATTTTTCCATTTTATGACCAACACCAACCTCCAACCATTTAAAACAGCTAGATAGGTAGAAAGGTCAATATTTTCAGAAATAATTACTGAGTGTAGGAAAAGTGGAAAGGGGGGTCCTTCCAGGTCTCTGTGACATTGGGACTAACTGATAAGTATGTACAGACTTAGCAAAATATCAGAGCATTTATTAATTACATTGGCAAGTAATCTTATTGTTCTGCCCTACTATTAGGGTTTTTATACAATAACAAACAGTTCAAGGTCTCAAATCCCTGTTAGAGAGTTAACATGAGGGAAGTGAAAGTAAATAATGTCTTCATTTTCATAATTTTCACATTAGATACTGAAAATCCCAGACAGACTAGGACTATCAGAGGATATTTTGCAGAAAAGGGAGCATACAGCAACTAAAATAAATACGCCAAAGTTTTAAAATCCAGTAAAACATAACTGCTGGATGTACTTTATAAATCCAATTGCAAAAATGAAAACCTAGAACTCTTAATTCCAGGCACAAAATCAAACAAAGCTCAAATTCCATCAACTACAAAGCCAAAATTATATCACTTCCTAGATCTCGTGGTAGCAGTTCCTTACCTGCTCCAAATCCTGCGCCAAGCCCAGTTCCCAGAGTCCCAGGTGCTGGTTTGCTTCCAAAAATACTATTCCCACTGGTATTTGTGCCAAAACCTAGAAAGACAAAAGAATGAGTGGACTGTACATTTCCCGTGATTCTCATTTCCTCTATAAGGGAGTTTAACACAAAGCTGTCTGACCCTAAGCTTTGCATCCTTTCAGTTAATATTTGGGAATCCTACATTGCAGAAAAATTTAATTTTGATGGCTAAAAAAAGTCTTTATATTTACTTAATTACACTTCAGCCTTGAAATATCAATTCAATTTGATAATATCAAATATTAAAGCAAAGTGAATATGTGCTTGAGCATTGGGAACATTTGCTTTGTAAGGCCCAAAGAGTCTAATGTATATTTCATGTTTATTTACAGGAAAAAAAGCTCATCCCCTCAAACTTTCACTAAAAATAAGACAATCAACAAATAAAGACACTTTACAGAACCTAAAGGTCCTTGCTAAAAAAAAAAACCAAAACAAAAAACCTATAAAAATCTCTACAGCAGCTTTTGCTTTGAATAGATGGACCGGCCATGGACAGTAACATGTGGCTGATCAAACACAAGGAGCTTTAATAATGTCATTCACACTCAGTCAGCTCACAGGAATACTCAAGAACTCAGGTGATATTAAAAAAAGAAGATGGCCAGGCACAGTGACTCACATTTACAATCCTAGCACTATGGGAGGCCAAGGCAGGAGGATGGTTAGAGCCCAGGAGTTTGAGACCAGCCAAGGCAACATAATGAGACCTCGTCTCTACAAAAGATTTTTTAAAATAGCTGGGTAAGGTGGTGTGCGCTTGTAGTCCCAGATACTTGGGAGGCTGAGGTGGAGGGATTGCCTGAGCCCAGGCGATTGAGGCTGTGGTGAGCCGTGACCATGCCACTGCACTCCAGCCTGGGTGACACAGTGAGACATAGATTTTTTTTTTTTTTTTAAAAAAGGAAGGCATTTTATGAATAACTCATTCTGAGTTGAACAATTCCTTACATTACCAGAGATGATGGAGAATTGACTAAACCACACTCCTTTACTATGGCCCACCATAAGAGAAATATCAGTAATTCCTCTTTAACATCCACAGGTATCAAACAAAGAAACAAAGATAACCATGTTGCACTGTTGTTAAGATGTGTCCACAAAGTATCATTATTCTTTTTAGAGCTAAATACCAACAAAACAAATAATGAACATACTGCTAATCTCTTGTAATAAGAGGAAAAAAAAATCAATCACTGGCCAGAAAACTCTGTAAAACATCTGTAGTCATAAGTATCATGACAGGGGAAAAGTCCAAAAGATAAACATGGTAAAGAGAAGATTTTGTAATAAATAATAGTATAACTAAGGATATTCTACTTTGTCATTCCAGTATTTGGATTATTATCTCAATCAAAAAGGTCAAGAAAAAAATTGAATATAAGCAGTTTGAAAAGAAGTATATTTCATGTCATTTGGAAATCCATGCGAGTAATCTAATTTAATCTCAGTGTATTTAACCTATACATTCATTAAATGTCTTCTTGAGTTGTGCTAGTAGCTATGCCACAAAAATGGAGTGCTACATACTCAAGCACAGTTTTCTTTGAAGAAAAAAAGTGTATTTAGAGACATTTTTATTTTAATGAAAATTTAAGTAGAAGGGATCATACAGCCCCATAAACAGCAGAAAACAAGATACTCATGAACTACCTCAAGCCCACAGGAGGGAAATAAATCCCAGCTTACACTGTTTATACCGCACATTTCCTCCGATTCTTACTGACAAGTTTACCAACTCTGTTATTTCAACAATTTTACAAATTAAAATTAGAGACAATTCAAATTCAGCACGCAAGCTATTGAGGCAAGTCAGTTACAGATGAGACCTTTCATTTTCAAATCACTGAACATGAATGTAAATATACCGGGCTGCTAAAAAAAAATGTATACACATTTTAAGAAATGATATCTATGTATTACTTTTAGTTCACTGTTATCAGAAGTGTCTGGATGCTGATGGTAGCCATTTTTTGCACCTCTTATAACTGCAGAAGTCAAACAAGACTTGATTTCATCTACAATTTTAATTCAGTTTTTTCCTTTCTTAAAATGTGTATATATTCATTTGGCACCCTCTGTATTCATACAACAAAAAAACCTCCAAGCAAAACAAAAATCTGCAACCTTGAAATAACACACACATGCATTTTCAAAGGGAGTGAAAACTGGTTCGTGGGGGACTAAAAAAAAAAAAAAATCATACATTATAATGCTTTATGGCCCTCCAAAGGGCCGCAGAACATAAACAGATACAATGTATACGTGTGACATGAAAATCTTGGGGGAGGAGATGACTGAAAACAAATGGTCTACAAAGGGTCCTTAAGGAAGGGTGAAGTGTTAATGATTAAAAAAATTATTGAAGAAACACTGATTTAACCCTTAGTTATCTTTCCCATTTCAATTTTACAGATAAGAAACAAGTACACAAACCAGATTTCTTACCCATGCTAACCATGTCCACTGCCTCAAAGCTGTTCCTTAGAGTATGACCAAAAAGAATTATAGAAACTATAATCATTATTAGCAGTGAGTGAGCAACACAACTAAAAGGGATTATAAAAAAATCAAATCAAATACATAAATTTAGTAATTGGTACCTATCAATGATGTACCTGCCTTCTTCAGCTTATAGTTCTGTAAAACACATTACCCTTCCAATGGATACTTAACATAGCCTCTTTCTCCAGTATGTTAGAGGACAATTCAAAAGCTCATTCAAAAACTGTTACTGCTGGCCTATACCAAATAAACATGTCTTGGCACTCGTCTCCCAAAAAGAATCTATCGGTGCCTAGCGATGAATATGGCACATGAAATTCTTACCAAATATCTAAAGCAATATTTCTTTGACTAATAGAATGAACTTTCCATATCTGATTTAACACAAATAATGTGGAATTTGTTAGAAAATTTAATTAGATAATTATAGAAAACATTGGAAATAATGTTTCTATAAAACTGTATTACTTTTTTCTAGCATATCTCTGGAGAGTAGTTCGGAGTTTTGTTAATTATTGTTCAATTTTTAATTATTGTTCAATTTTTTTCTGCATTTTTCAAATTTTTACAATTAAAATGCATTCAATTAAAAAAAAAAAATAAGTCAGGGTCTTACTCTGTCACCCAGACCGGAGTGCAATGGCATGATCACAGCTCACTGCAGCCCAGAACCCCTGGGATCAAGTGATTATCCTGCCTCAGCCTCCCAAGTAGCTAGGAGTATAAGGACGTGCCACCATACCAAGCTAATTAAATTATTTTTTTTGTAAAGATGATGTCTCACAATATCGCCCAGGCTGGTCTCAAATTCTCAGGGCTCAAGCAATCCTCTTGCCTTGGCTTCCCAAAGTACTGAGATTACAGGCATGAACCTTGTGCCTGACCATTAAGCAATCAAATAAAAAAAAAAAATCTGTCACTGATTTGAAGTTCATGAACATGTGACCAAAACTAAAATTTTTGAAACTGCCAAGAAACTACTGAATAATCCCTCAAAACAGAAGGGTTTTGACTTTATTTTTTTTAGAGACAGGGTCCCACCATGTTGTTCAGGCTGGAATGAGGTGGCTATTCAAGCATGATCACAGCACACTGCAGCCTTGAACCCCTGGGCTCAAGTGATCTTTCTGCCTCAGCCTCCAAAGTAGCTCTCCAACATGCCCAGCAGGTTTCAACTTTGAATAAGAATCATTAAATCTCTCCTGTACACCACACCATGTTTAAACCTGGACTAATTTAATATATTACCTCAACCAAATGTGTTTTATTTATGGTTTCTTAGCTATTGGTGAGGTAATCCAAAGAAAATGAAAGGCAATTTACATGTCTACTAAGTATCTCAAGCCATGTCCATGATTTTAAACCTGTTCCTCTATATCTCACATCAAGCCACGGCTTACCTGAGAATTTTAAAATATTCCCAATTGTATGAATCAGGAGAATAATGTGTGGTATAGTCAGTGTAACTTTAAGAGAGTCAAACCTGCATTTATTTTATATGTACCAAAATTGGAAGTGTTTGTATTGGTTCCTAAAGTCAGGGTTGGTTTGTTACCAAAGAGCCCGCCACTGGTTGTACCAAATGAAGGTGCACTGGTTGTGCTGCTTCCAAATGTAGTGAGCTTGTTATTGCCAAACAGGGTCTAAAAAGAACAAAATACAGGAAAAATTTAAATAATAAAGATAAACACCAAACAGTAAATAAAGGTACCTCAGGTATACTAGATTGGGTATGGGATGAGAGAAAGATGTCATAATTTTTATTAAAAAGGCAGATGGTTATCAGAAAAATAATCTAAGCACAATTAATTTCACAAACACAGAATGCTCCTAGCCAGAAAAATTAATAACAACCCCTCAGCAAACGCAGGATTTCAGTGAGGCAAAGAAAAAATAACAAGGCCACAAAAATATCTTTTTAACTGTTAATAAAAAAGTATATTTAACTTTCCAGTAGAAATATTTACAATAAAAACTTTGAACATGCAACAATATAGATGAACCTTGAAAACGCTATGCTAAGAGAAAGACATCAGTCTCAAAGCACTATATACTATGATTCCATTTATATGAAATGTACAGAACACTTAAATCCATAGAGACACAAAGTAGGCTCAAGGTGATTAAACAGAAATGGAGAATGACTGCCAATGAGTATGGGGTTTCTTTTTGACATGAAGAGTATGTTCTAAAATTGAATATGGTGAAAGTTGCACACTTTGTGAATATACTTAAAAAACCACTGAACTGTACACTTTAGAGAGATGAACCATAAGGCAGATGGACTATACATTAATAAATCTGCTATTCAAAAGTAGGAACTTTCTTAAGCATTACACAGGTTTTTCAATCTCTTACCTCAATTATCTGCCAAAAGATAAGAAAAAAGAGATCTCAATCTCCATGAAAATAAAATTGTTTCAGGGACTTTCTGTTTCTTTTTTTCTGAAGTGTCCACAATAGCAAGTCAAAAGTTTCTTCCGTTTCTTTTATTTGTATGTTTGTTTGAAGACAGGGTTTTACTCTTTCAACAAGAATGGAGTGCAGTGATGCTATCCAGGCTTACTATAGTCTCGATCTCCTGAGCTCAAGTAATCCTCCCACCTCTCAGTCTCCCAAGTAGCTGGGGCCTACAAGCATTTGTCACCATGTCGAGCTAATTTTTAAAATTTTTTGTAGCAATGAGGTCTCACTATGTTGCCCAGGATGGTCTCGAACTCCAGGACTCAAGCAATCCTCCTGCCTCAGTCTCCCAAAATACTCAGATTACAGGCAGGAGCTGATGTGACTGGTCTCAAAGTTTCTTATCCAATGAGAACCCCAACAATTTTGGCAATTTCTTTTCTAGACTGAGGGTCTCACCACTGTAGCCCAAGCTGGAGGGCAGTGGCATGATCACAGACCACCACAGCCTCAACCTCATCCCAGGTTCAAATGATCTTTCTGCCTCAGTCTCCTGAATACCTGGAACTATAAGTACCTGCCACCACACCTGGCTAATTTTTTTTTTCGTAGAGATGAGGTCTCGCTATATTGCCTAGGCTGATCTCAAAATCCTGGGCTCAAGCAATCCTACTGCCTTGATCTCCCAAAGTGCTTAGATTTACAGGCGTGAGCCACTGTGTCCAGCCCAATTTTGGCAACTTGATCAACACCCAAAATATATCTTTTCTTTTTTTTTTGAGTGGGAGTCTCACTCTGTAGCCCCGGCTGGAGTGCAGTGGCACGCTCACGGCCACCACAGCCTCGACCTGCTGGGCTCAGGCAATCCTTCCCCCTCAGCCTTCCAAATAGCTGGAACTACAGGCATGCGCCACCATACCTGATTAATTTTTTGATTTATTATAGAGCTGAGGTCCCGACAACTTGCCCAGGCTGATCTCGAACCCCTGAGCTCAGGCAATCCTCTTGCCTCAGCCTCCCAAAGTGCTGGGATTACAGGCTTGAGCCACTGCACCCGGAAATACCTAAAATATTTCATTCCCAAATGTCATACCAACCTGCATCTAAAACACAGGGTAGAACTGGGAATTAAAGAATAGCTGACTTAAATAAGGTGATAGCATGTAAATTTAGAACCAATAATTTAACAAACTGCTATCAGTAGTAAACTGCATGCAAGTACCAAGGCAAAGAACTGTACAAAAGAATTTACTAATTGAAAATAAACTCACTTTAAGTTAACCATAAATTTCATTTTGCATCAAATAGTTTTTAACTGTTATCAATATTAGATCATACAATACCCAATGAAAATACTTGGGAGACAGTCAAGTCTTTCACAGAAATTCCTTTAATAGATTTATACACATCTACAAATTATAGTTAACCTACCGAACCAACAGCACCAAATCCAGTATTGGTCTGCCCAAAGAGACTCGTTCCTGTTCCAAATGCTGTCCCAGTGCTGGTGTTTGTAGCTGTCCCAAAAAGACCTCCAGGCTGTGAGGCCTGGGTTACTCCAAATAATCCCTGCAAAAGTTAATATAGATTACAAGATATCTTATAATCGGTTTCTTAAAAAGGCTTAGGTTAATAAAAAATAGTTTTTTTTAAAGCTTATATGATAATACTAGGCTAAATACCTTACATAGGGCATTTCTGTGCTTCACAGCAACCCTCAATAGCAGGGTATTCCCATTTTCCAAAAAATAAAAAATCAAACTCAGAGCATTTATAAACCTGTCCAAGAAGCCACAGTTCCTGAGTGGCAGGGCAAGAAATTCAAACCTATACCTTAAATCCCTTTGTTCTCAGGATGATGAGCTCCAAGGTCCTAGGTATCTAATAAGGCTTTACATGAATTGTTATGTTCTAAGGAATTTGAAGATTACAAATTCCACTAATGCAAAGTGGTATGACAGGGTGCTCCATTTTATTTTTTGAGTTGGAGTCGTTTTTTTGAGTTGGAGTCCCACTCTGTCGCCCAGACTGGAGTGCAGTAGCCACTCCCGG